CTTTTCAGTTACTTTATTAAAAGTTGTATCAAAATCATAAAATGGGACCAAGGTAGTAGTACTGCCGTAGTTACGTTGTTATCTCATATCAAGCCGTGTGTCGGTGTTTGTGAAAACTTATTGTTATGTCTGAGTTATTCTAAGTACGATAACGGATATTTGACACGTGTTTAATAGGAGTATCAATGAATTCAATTCACAAAACATGTCAGACTTAGCAGATTATTAGCAGATTATTCAAAGACTTACTTTTTTTTTTCAGATTATGGACAGTGAATTGTTTAGAGTTGTGAAAGAAAAGTATGGTGACAAGTTCAAGGCCCTTGTGAAGGAGAAGGTGTTGGCAGTGGCGGGCGATATTTCCTTCAAGGATTTGGGAATTGAAAATGTTGAGCAACTTTTGGGAGAATTGGACATTATTATTAACTCCGCTGCAACTACCGTATTTGATGAGAGGTGGGATGACGACTATCATTGGATTGATTTTAGTTCTAGATTTAAATTGATCACATCCGACCAAATTAGTATAGATCAAATCACTCAACAATACACTTTGATAGTTATAGAGCACATACATATAGATCGAATACGTACAAAACTAAAATCAGTATCAAAGAGATCAGACTAAATCACTAAATTAGATGAGGTTGAGTCAGATTAGACCAAAAGAATTATAGTACAATTAAAAATATCCTTATTTCCTTAATATAATAGTGAAAGATCTGCCTACATAACTACATACGGAATACTATAGGAAAGCATATTGACTTGTTACCTAATCCAATATTTGTTCGAGGTGTATACGCCCTCCGTCCCTTATAAGTTAGTTTTCAAAAATAATAAAGTAAAGACTGCGTGATTAAGATTAGTACAGGGACGGGTGTAGGTATAGGCAGAGCCGTAGATGAGGCTGTGCAAGCTGGGCTATTGCACAGGGCCTCCAAAAACAGTAGGCCCATTTTTTTAAAAAATATATATAGTATATATATAAAGTAATTGTTTAATTTATATAGCATTTTTTGTTTAATTTATACTAAGGAGTATATTAATAGGGGCTGATTTGCATTTTTGAAACACTGTTAAACGCTGAGCAACTCGAAACAAAAGAACCTGCAACCCTACGGCCTACGTCTACCGTCTATGCTCCAAATTAAATGAAAATTAAAAAGGTAGAAATCCCTTCCACTTCCCAAAACAAGTCGGCATAAGCATTACACATTTGCACCCCTACTCTATCTTCTTTCTTCACTACTCTGTTTCTCACATTCTCTTATTAAAAAGGTAGAAATCCCTTCCACTTCTCAAAATGTCCTTGATTTCTTGTGTACTCACAAATTAAAGGCATTAGATGGTGAAACTGTGAAAGTTTAAAGGCTTGTTGTAGTCATTTTGAAAATGCACTTAAATAATGGAAATTCTGATATTGATAGAAATGAATTATTTGTTGGGTTAAAGTTACTTACATAACTTTTGCCTAAAAAAGATGGGTCCTGTTGAAATTCTGATGTTTTTAAAAGGCTTGTAGCAAGTCTGGATTTGAACAATTATAATGCGTCTTAGATCTATGCATTTTCTTTACTAAAAGGCCTCATTTGTGTGGTTCGCATCGGGTCTCTTAAGATGTCAAGCCGGCCCTGGGTATAGGGGTAAGGGGGTCTTGCTTCCCCCCCAACTTTTTCTATTAGTACTAGTATTACTTTGATGCAATTTTATGAAATAATCACAAAATATTGGGTGAGAGCTACCAAATAGAAGCCTCTATTTGAGATGCTTTCGGGTATAATTTTTTGATAAAATTTTTTAACCATGTTTTCCTTGAAATGTAGATTATCTGCACCAAATTTCTTCTAAAAATTCAAATACTAAGTCAACTAAATAAATTATGGAAAAACGCTGCATTATTTTACATATATTTTGGCACAGTGTTTTTCAATGATTTATTTAGTTGACTTCCCGCTTGAATTTTAAACTAAATTTTAATGTAAATAATCTACACATCATGAAAAACATTCTCAAAAACTGTAATAAAAAAAAATCAACCCGAAAGCAACTTAAATACAGGCGGTCGGACAGTGGATCCTGTCGGGTAGTTTTGACAACATCATTCCTAATGAAATAACTTCATATACGTAGTATATGATTGAAAATACGAAAAAAATATGTTTTATTCCTCAAATAGATCATACTTAGTGCTAATAATAATAATAATTTGACTAAAGTTTGCCAAAATAGTATTAGTTGGAATATCCAATTCACCGTCGTGATGATCGTTTATTGAATAACCTATTAATAGGCTACGTACATCGAGTATTACAATTGCATACAAACTCTATCTATTCTATCTAGCTAATCATGTGTACAAGAATGAGTCCAGATACATTATTAGTTTGAGCCGTATGAGCTAAACACTCGGTCAACCGCCTAAGGGATAAATAATACTACCAATAATATGTACAATTAATATATATTTGAAATATAGTATAATGAATATAAGTGGTGACCGTGTGAGGATAATAATGCATGGACTTTGCATGATTAATAATATTGGCTAACACGCCCCCGCAGTCGAATCAGGAGGACTACGGACGTTGAGACTGGACCGGAATTCGTCAAATAATATTCTTGGTAAACCTTTGGTAAAGATATCTGCAAATTGACGGCGGGACGGAATATGAAGAACACGAACTTCGCCCCGAGCAACCTTTTCCCGGACAAAATGTATATCCATTTCGATATGTTTGGTTCGTTGATGTTGAACCGGGTTGCCAGTCATATATACAGAACTAATATTGTCACAATAGACAAGTGTAGCTTTGGTAAGTGGGCAGCGTAACTCGGTTAATAAATTCCGAATCCAACAGGTTTCGGCCACAACATTTGCTACACCACGATATTCGGCCTCGGCGCTAGAGCGGGATAAAGTAGGCTGTCGTTTGGAGGACCAAGAAATGAGATTGTCTCCTAAAAAAACACAGTAACCGGAAGTAGAGCGCCGAGTATCGGGGCAGCCACCCCAATCGGCATCGGTGTAAGAAACCAAGTCCGTGAGTGAAGATGAGCCAAGGTGAAGGCCGAAGTGAAGTGTGCCCTGAATATACCTTAGAACCCGCTTAAGTGCATGAAAATGGGGCTCACGTGGATCATGCATGAACAAACAGAGATGTTGAACGGCATAAGATATGTCAGGCCGGGTGAAAGTAAGGTATTGTAATGCTCCGGCAAGGCTACGGTAAAGAGTAGGATTTGCAACAGAAGGTCCATCCGAAGCACTTAGTTTGGAATGGGTGTCAACAGGAGTACTAACGGGATTGCAATCCGCCATGCCGGCACGGCGTAGAATGTCACGAGCATAAGTGGATTGTGATAAGAACAACCTGGAGGAATGCCGAGTCACTGAAATGCCTAAGAAATATGTCAACGGACCCAAATCCGTCATGGAGAATTCGGCGGCCAGTTGAGAGATAATGTATTTGCGGAAGTCGTCGGATGAAGCCGTAAGAATAATGTCGTCCACGTAGAGAAGGAGATATGCAGTGTGACGGCCGCTATGATAAATGAAGAGAGAGTGGTCACATGCACTATGAGTAAATCCGAGCGTAGCAAGATGAGAAGCGAACCGGTGATACCAAGCTCGAGGAGCTTGTTTGAGGCCGTATAAGGATTTCAAAAGACGGCAAACATGTTGAGGCCGCGATGGATCGCGGTAGCCCGGCGGTTGATGCATATACACAGTTTCCTCTAACCGACCGTGTAAAAAGGCATTTTTGACGTCAAGTTGATGAAGAGACCAAGAGTGAGAGAGAGCAATGCTGAGGACAAGTCGGATAGTAGCCGGTTTAACAACCGGGCTAAAAGTTTCATCACAATCTACACCGACTTGTTGAGAGTTGCCATTGACGACGAGCCGAGCTTTGTGACGTTCCAAAACACCATCAGACCTGTATTTATGTTTAAACAACCACATGCAACGAATAATATTGGAGTTAGGCGGACGGGGAACTAACTCCCAAGTCTCATTCTTAATCAGGGCACTAAACTCATCATCCATGGCGGCTTTCCAATTTGGGTCTTGGAGGGCGGTGATAGGAGACCGGGGCAGTGGAGATGGTGTTGATGAAACGGCTAAGGTGAATATTTGTTTTGGTTTGTGAATCCCGGCACGGCTTCGGGTTTGCATGGGATGGGAAGAAGTTTGGGATATGGGTTGGTTGCATGGGGCATGCATGGAACGTGAAGGGGGGATATTATTTTGGGGGGAAGGGATATTATTTTGGGAAGGGATAAGATGAGGATGGGTGTTGGAAGAATGTGGAGGGCTGACCGAGCCAGATGGAGTGTTGGCAGAAAATGTTGGGGAAGGTGTAGATGTGTGGTTGGTGGGGCTAGTGGTGGGAACCGAAGTGTGAGTTGGGGAATGGGTTTCGGATAATATAGGTAAAAGACGGAGCATGGGGTGTGGGTCATCTAAAAAATTGTATGTGGGTGTAGTGGGCTGGTGGGTATTTCTAAATGGAAGAACACTTTCGTCAAAAGTGACGTGACGAGAAACTATGATTTTATTAGTACGAATATCAAGGCATTTATATCCTTTATGGTTTAAAGGAAAACCAAGAAAAACCCACGGGGTAGAGCGGGGCTGAAGTTTGTGAATAGTAACCGAGGGGTGGTGGGGAAAACAAAGACACCCGAATACGCGAAGATGATCGTACGTGGGCATTTTGTGATAGAGGAGGTGAGTGGGTGATAGGAAATTGAGAGGTTTGCTAGGAAGTATATTATGGAGGTAGGAGGCCATATGGATGGCGTGAGGCCAGAAATGGGTAGGGACAGCGGCATGAATTAATATAGTCCGAGCAATAGTATTTATAGTGCGAATATATCGTTCGGGCCGAACCATTTTGGGGAGAAGTGTAGGGACATGAAAAACGAAAATGGAGGCCATGTTTTTGTCCATATGTGCGAAATGCAGAATTATCAAATTCCTTCCCGTTATCACATTGAAAAATTTTAATGTTACGTTCAAATTGAGTGCGAACATAAACATGAAAATTAACAAAAGTAGGGAACGTTTGGGATTTAGAGGTTAAGGGAAAAACCCAAACATATTTCGTATAATCATCAACAAAGATTAAATAATATCGATGACCAGTAGAACTAAGAACAGGAGAGGTCCACAAATCACTGTGTATTATTTCAAATGGGGAATAAGTGACAGAATGAGAAATGGAAAATGGCAATTTTTTATGTTTGCCAAGTTCACAGGAAATACATAAAGATTTACTAAGAGAAGTACAAGGAATAGTTTTATTTGTTCTAAGAAAACTAAAAACGGGGTCCCCGGGATGACCTAGCCGATGGTGCCAAGTAGTCGCCGAGGTAGTGAGAAAAGCTGAGTGAGCCGGTCTGGATATGTGAGGCTGAATGGGGTAGAGGTCACCCGAACTATTGCATCTCATGAGAACTGTGCCCGTGTGGAGATCCTTCACAGAAAAACCAACGGGGTCAAATTCAACAGATACAGAATTATCGGTAGAAAAACGGCGAACGGAAATAAGATTTTTTATGAGGGACGGGGCATGAAGAACATTATGTAGTTGTAAGGGGGGATGAGGGGGGGCTAAAGTGGTTTTGCCAAGACCCGAAATGGGTATGGTATTACCATTGCCGACCATAATGAATTGTTTAGTACCTAAATTATAAAGAGACGTGAGTTTACCCGAATTGGAGGTCATATGTGATGTGGCCCCAGTGTCCATATACCAATTGTCATCCGGCTGTGGTGCGAGTGTCATGGTATGCATGGCGGCATTAATATCGGTGAGAGCCGGAGCCGGACCCGAGAGATGGGCCTGATTTGGCCGAGCACCAAGAATACCTGCTCCGGAAGTAGGGCGTGGGGAGGGAGCAGTCCAAGGAGCAGACGGATGAGGACATGGTGGCATGGCCCAAGGTGACGGCGGCATCCAGTAGGCCCATGGCGGTGGTGATGTCCAAGCGTTGGGGTTCCATGTAGGGGGAGTGGGGTCTGGCCGAGGTGTACCACGACCACCACGACCTCGTCGGGCAGAAGAAGAACCGCGCCCACCGCGGCTGGATTGACCTGGGCGAGGAGAGGGAGACTGTGACGGCGCACCATGGAGTAGTGCACTGGCCGAGGAAGTGCCAAGTTGGTGTGCCTTACGGGTTTCATCAAGCAGGAGCATGGACCGGGCAGTTTGGAAGGTAGGAAGAGGTGTGGCCTGTTGAATCATGGACGCGATGGTGTCGTACTGAGCGGGAAGACCGTTGACTAGGCGGAGAACAAGGCGGTCGGGGGAAACCGTGGCACCAACATTATGTAGCTGATTAGCCAGGGTTTTGAGAGTACGACAATACGCTGCAACATTGGGAAAATTTTCCAAACGGGTGTTGGAAAACAAATTTTCCAAATGCACAGCCCGAGAATGTTTATTGTCAAGGAAAATATCAGTGAGGCGATCCCAAGCTTCCTGCGCAGTGGCGTCCGGTTCAATAATGGTGTGGAGTAAGTCATGAGATATTGTACCGTAGATCCACTGAAGAACTATGGCGTCCAAACGGGTCCATAGAGCAGCTGCCTCTGCCTTGGCAGAAGCTTGAGCGAGAAGCTCTGCGGGAGTGAGTTCAGTAGTAGAAGTAGAGGAACTGGCTGCAGTAGAATCAACAGTAGGGATGATATGGTCGAGAACTTGATACGCGCGGGCGGTGATTTTAAACAACTCCGCCCATGAAGAGTATTCAACGTTCTCGATGTCGAGGGTAATAGGAATAAAATTTTTAATGTTTGAGATAGCTAGGGCGGGGTGAAAGGCGGAAGCTTTGGTGGTAGCCATTAGAGAGGAAGAAAAAACTACTGATACCAAGTTGGAATATCCAATTCACCGTCGTGATGATCGTTTATTGAATAACCTATTAATAGGCTACGTACATCGAGTATTACAATTGCATACAAACTCTATCTATTCTATCTAGCTAATCATGTGTACAAGAATGAGTCCAGATACATTATTAGTTTGAGCCGTATGAGCTAAACACTCGGTCAACCGCCTAAGGGATAAATACTACCAATAATATGTACAATTAATATATATTTGAAATATAGTATAATGAATATAAGTGGTGACCGTGTGAGGATAATAATGCATGGACGTTGCATGATTAATAATATTGGCTAACAGTATTGAATAAGTCACATTTTGAAAATAAAACAACAATAATACTCTTTATTATTTATGTTCCTTCTGCCCCCCCCCCCCCCCCATACGACCAAACGCTAGCTCCGCTCCTGGGTTTGTGCATTGGAGATATAAGTAAACAAGAACCACAATTTTTATGATTAAAAAGTAACGTAAGAAAGTTAGTGGGCAGGGGCGGAGCTAGAGCACTAAGCCGGACTGGGTCGATACAAAGAATATTTTTTGAAAATTTTTTACACGGAATTGTTTACACTAAAAATACAAACATTTTTAAAATTTGAGCTGGGCCAGGGCCATGAATGACCCTCCCCTAACTCTGCCCATGTTAGTGGGGCCATAAAAAGAAAAACTGATAGAGTTATAAGGGACGAACAAAATACTACGTATTTAACACGCATCCCCTGATGGCCTGATCCCCATTGTGTTAATACTCACGGCAACATGTAACACGTTAATACTTGTTCCAATAAATAGACCAACATTTAGAGCCCATTTGGTAATATCCAAATCGGCTGTATTGGTTGATTCTGCTGAAATTTATGAAGTTCTGTTTGGAGGGGTTGGATTAGCTGATCTTGCTGATAAATGATAAAATTATATTTAAAATATATATACTAAAACAAATTATATGGAAAACAAGCTAAAATGATCCTCTACAATAGTTTTAGCCAATATAGCCAGAAAAGTAACGTTAACCTTACATTTTCTTATCATTACACAATTTAGCGCGTGAAATCAAAGATTACATGTTTGGTGAAAAAGTTAACCGATAAGTTTGATAATGATGAAACGGTTAGCAACACAAAAAGAGGGGGGGGGGGGGGGGTGAATTGTGTGTGTGTGGAACCGTGACAGTTTTTCGCCAAGTTCTAGTGTGAGGTAAAGGGAATTGTGAAATAGTAAAGTGTACAAGGATTTAACGAGGAAAAATCCCTTGGCTCAAAGGGATTAAAAAAAACCTCGACCTCCCTCGGAGGAATTTTAAACAACTTCACTAAAAAGCATTTGAATGATTACAAGGGAAACTCTCCTAGTCTACCATTGAGCCATCTCAACTCTATCCTCTCTAGGAAGAATTATGCTTCTCTACCTTGCGGGTAGAGAGCCTCTCATCTTTACAACAAACCTCTCACAACACACAAACCAACCCGAAGATGCTACACTTAGCCAATCCTCAAAAACCCAATTACAATATAAGAAGGGAAGAAGAAACTATATCTAGAACTCCGGGAGCAGTTTCAGGTGTCTTGGACTTAGTATTTGTCTCGAGTATATCTCTTAATATTTTTCTGGCCAAGCACACTCTATTTCTCTTTGACTGCTTTGTTTATATAGGTTGCCTTGATATGTTCGTTGATGCATCTCTTTCCTTGAATAGTCTTGTAACTAATCATGGGATTTGCCTTGATATTATTTGAAAAACCTTCCTTCTATAATGATCTTCTTTATTATAACTCAATGCAAAGGGCAATCAGATTCACAAGATATCATGCTAATATATAAAAGGATGTACGCACCATGACAATAATATATTCAAATCATGTGCAAACATATTATTTATTTTTAGCAAGCCAAGATACTAAAAATATTTATTTAATACATTAAGTGGACAAAGCTTTTCAATCTAGTGTGGCAAGCTCAAAAGTGCTACGGTCAACTACCATAAAGGAAGCAAGGTATTTTAAAGATACTTTCCATAACCTATACATGTCAATTAATTCAATTGGATGTCTAATCATGTATGAAAATATATTTGAATAAAAGCATGTACGTAATTATGCAGCAACTACTCATATGACAATAAGATATTCATGCAATCAATTAATTATAACCAAGCCAAAGTTACTTTATAAAAAAGTACAATTACTTTTTATAAAGTTAAAAGCACAATTACGTATACATATATAATGGTCAGGCAAAAAGGTACTCATATTACTTTTCATAAAGTAATAAGCTATACTTTCCATAAAGTAATATACCACTCAAATAAGCACTCATATTAAGCAAAATACGTATATATTATTTAGTCATGCAAGAAAGGTATTTTTGCTTAAAATAATATTCTTGACAAAGTAAAAGCACTCATATAAGGAAAGAACATTAGTTGACTAATCAAGTAGGTGTAATCAATATTAATTCAAACCATATCACGGAACTAGAAATGGTTCAGTATCAGTTCCACCTGCATGGTTAGTCAACAACACAATAATAATGTCCATTTGGACCTGAGGATAGTTCTGTCTGCCGTTCCACCTGCATGGTTAGTTATCAATCAAAACATATATGTCCGTTGTAGGATAGTTCCGGGTTCAGGTCTACGGCTTGTTCCAAAGCACAACTTATCTTCCTTTCCTGTAATCAGTTATAGACCAAAAGTAACACTAGTCGTTTGTCATCAACAAAATAATATGTTCCAACAGATCGATAAGCTGAAACACAAGGTCACCAAATAGGCTCTAACTTCTAAGTAGTAGGGTGAAATAATTATGAATCTAGATTGTTCTATTAAATGATGTATGGTATATATATATATATATATACTCAATTCAAGGGATCGATCGGATTGCCTACATCATGACTACGTACATTATTCTTCTATAAAATTCTTGATTTGACTCTTATTTGTTATCTTAATATAACTATTTTAGTTTTTTTCCTCACTAGTTAATTCCTTGAGTTTACTCTTGTTTATTAAATACAATACAAACAACTTTCTTTTTTTGGTGAAAGAGCATGCATGTAATTTCATTATTCATATCATACTCATCAACCTGAAAAGAAAGACGAAACGGTGAATATTAGACAAAAAACTAAAATGAACATAAAAGAGTGAGTGAAATATTATTATAATCATATAATTGTTTGTGTTGGTTTGTTTATATAATTGTAGGTATGATGTTGCAATGAGTATAAATACAATGGGTGCAGCAAATGTTCTGAATTTCGCCAAGAAATGCCACAATCTTAAGATGATTGTTCATGTATCCACTGGTACGTTTAAAAAATTGAAAATGTGCTTCATTTTATTTTAAGTAGTATGTACACATATCTACAAATATAATTTGTTTCAAGTAAAGAGGGTTCTTAGTAGAAAATAGGAACTAAACATCCTCATTTGTACAAACTTACGGATAGAGGGATGAGATTAAACTTTTAGTTTAGAAGAGTGACAACGCTATTGTAAATATCAACTAGATTTTTTACCCGTGCGTTGCACGGGATGCATATGTTATCTGTTTAACCATGTCATTAGATGACAGTGGAAATCTAATGAATAGTTTAACTAACTCGGATTTACATATGTTAAAAATTTGGAATGAATTTTTCAGAGCACAAAGTTGGATAAAGTTGGGATCACTTCGTAGTAATAAAAATACTTTTTATTAGATATATAAATATTTTGTTACGTATTTGTGTTTATAAAATATACTACCTCCGTCCCACTAACATTGGGACATGAGGAGGTGACACGGTTATTAAGAAAAGTGAGTTTTTGTGATTGATAAAGTACGAATGATTTAGAGCCACACAAATTTTACCAAATTTGGTATGAGACAATCTTAGTGGGACTCCCTAAAAAGGAAAAATGTGACAATCTTAGCGAGACGGAGGGAGTAATAACAAAGGATTCATGCAATTGAGGAACGCTAAAAATGTTACTGATCAATCTTTTGTAAACATCCAATTCAATAAGCAAAAACATTGATTGATAGTATAACTTTAAAAATCAAAATTTTCACATTATAATTACTAATTGCTAACTATTAATTTACACATTATTGTTTAGAGAAAATGAGTATGAAATCATTCAATATGGAAACACAAGCTACACCTTATTATTTTATACTATTATAGAAGACTATTGTTATTATTAATATAACTATTACTGTACTGCAAGACAATAACAATGATGTTTTTAATTAGACTAAAATTTTATGATCGGGTCCGCTTAAGTTTAGTCTGATGACCTAAACTGATCTGATCTGGTAAGTGTCGGATGTATGTATATTTTACTAACTTATTCTGATCTGATCAAGTCTATTGTATTTAAATTTGATCTGATTTGGTGTTGTTTCTTTTAATCTAGTGTGGTCTAGCTTATAATTGAAAATATTTAAATCAAAATATTGTAAACGTTCTGATTTTTTTCTTTGCGTTAAGTAAAATCCCCGCCAATTATGTATGACTATTATTATATTATAATAAAAATAATTATTATTATTATCTATCATCATCATTATAGATTATTTTGAATTGAAAATATTCCAATTACTCCAATATTCATGTAACTCTTATTTTTAATGGATATGAAGCATTAAATGTCTAATTGGAGGGAAAAGCAAGGTGTCACACATTGTTACTTTATATTATTATTATAGATAAATATTCATGTAACTCATATTTTTTAATAGATATGAAGCATTAAATGTCTAATTGTAGGGAAAAGAAAGGTTCCACACCTTGTTACTTTATATTATTATAGATAGATATCTATCATCATCATCATCATCATTATAAATTATTTTAAATTGAAAATATTCCAATTACTCCAATATTCATATTCATGTAACACTTATTTTTTAATGGGTATGAAGCAATAAAGGTCTAATTGGAGGGAAAAGCAAAGTGTCACACCTTGTTACTTTATATTATTATTATAGATTATAGATTATAGATTACTAGTTTGAAATGAGACCACACGGACAAAAGTGTATGGAAGATACAAAACTTGGATATATTATACTACAAAAGTATACAACAATCTCAAAAACACGTGCACAAGTTAAATGATATGAAAAAAATTATTTATGAATATATAAGCTCTAATGTTTACCCAATCCACGTCTTTATATACTCCCTCCGTCCCGAAAACAACCTCCCGCTTTGACTTTCACACACTTTTAGAAAATAAGTTTGACTT